TTGATCTGAAATGCAAGAAATATGGAAGAACAGCTGGGTTGGGGATTCACTGCATGAAGGAGCAGGGAAATTCGCTCTTCCGCCTTCAGCTGTCCACCGTTTGCAGACTTGAAAAGGCTTTTACCTGGTGTAAAACGTACTGCAGGGTCACCATTTTCGTAATAGAAACGATCACATTTCTTTAGCCGTTGCATTTGTTCACCGATTATACACGCAAGTGTTGGCCCAACTAGTGCACCTGAGAAAAGAGAATCTTACTTGGATTAAATATGAATGAAAAAAAGTAAAGTTAGAGCGTGACCGAATAAAAGGAAAACACAATAGTTGTTGCGACCTCACGACCTCCCTCTGGCCGCGACAGCCTGCTGGTAGGAAACCGCGCTCAAATGCCAATGAGCATCCGATTTCGTCACATTAAGTCAAGTCAGCTTAATCAAGGCTTTACCGCGCGAGTGCGCCAGAAACAGCCCTGGGTCTCGGCCCGAAGCCTGCGCGGGCCTCCAGCGGTCTACGGACAACTTGAACTCAATCCCTTTGAACGCGTCGATCTTCTCTTTTTCTCTGCACTCTCTCGTCCGCATGGCACTCTATGGCCGTTGTGACTTCGCTCACTCCAGCTTTTAAGCTACTTATGGAGGTTTTTTTGCAAAAGTTTTTCAAGCTCGTGCAAAAAACGACTATAAGTAGCTCACCCACCCGGAGTCCCCTCCCCTTGAAAAATCCCGTTTCCTGGCTCGCCATACGTTTTTTGCACGTTTCGATGCTTTGGCAGCCGCTGCCCTCTATCCGTCTGCGTCACAGGGTTTCGTAACAGGACCATGCACAAAAGTTCAAGATGTTCAAGTTTGTAGTACGTTTAACCACATCTCCGACTGAAGATTTACTGCTTTGTCGTTTTGGTGGTTTGGGAAATCGTTGGATATCTGTAGTGGCAGTTGCAGTCACGTAGTACATTGAGCACGACAATATTGTGCATGATCAATGCAGTGTTTTGCACGCTACACTGCTCATTTTTTTCTGTATATTTCACTTCTGAAGTTCATTTATAAGTACCGCAAAGGTTAACTTAGAAGTAGTTACAGATTCAGATCTTAAATAATTACTATTGTTAGATAAATATTCTAATCTGGTTATACCAGCGCGTTGTACCGCCCGCCAACCATTGCCAGGTTATCTGTTCACCAACACTTGATTTACCTTCCATTCCTAGTATCTTTCTTGACACCTTCGCGCTGCTCTATGGTCCCCTCACCCAACGAAGGAAATCCGAGCCCTGCTGAGAATTGCCAGTGAGGTGTGCCCTGGTTAGGCAACGTTCAGACCAGGGCACATCATTGGTTGGGGATTTTGGTCGAGTCCTTTTTTACCCCCCCCCTTTTTGGTTGGTATAACCCCGCCCTTCCCTCTGTCCCTCCTCATCAAACCGAGCACGGGGGGAGTCCATTCCTAGAAGGCCAAAAAGTAAATACGACCCCCCCCTCCCAGCAAACATGTACGACCCCCCCCCTCTCTTTTACAACGTCCGTGAAGCGAGAAAAATCAACTATCAAAAAATAAATTTTTCTCAGCCCAAATACGACCCCCCTCTCCTGGCGGCCAAATACGACCCCCCCCCTATTGGGGATTCCCCAACAACGATAAGCCCTGTTCAGACTTCGCGACGGCAGCGCTTCGGTCGCGCGTTCGACGCGATCGATGCGCACACTTTTGACTGCATCGATCGTCAGCATAACTTGCGAGGTTCTCTTCAAGACACAGGCAGTTCGGCTTGATTTCCTGTAATGCAACTTACGAAACAACTAACCCTTCACTGGTCGCTCACTCATGATGCCAGGGAAGAGGTCGATATCGTCCACATGTTCATACACCTTTCTCAAAGCTTCCACTGCGGAGTCGTCCATTGTAGAGCGAAGATCGTCGAAGCTCTGAGCAGTTCGTAGTCCACACAGCGCCCTACAATCGAGGTGTTCATCAATGAATAGTGTATGCGATGGATTGGTTTTAAGGGGGAGGGAGGCTGCGCCCTCCTTTCTCCTTACAAAGAAGCTTTATCCTGCGTTCTCTGAACTCATTGCCTAATTTACCTGTACTTGTTGTACGGTTGTACTCCGTGGTCCCTGCCGCGCTGGATGTTCACAGCCGGTAGATCTATTCCTGTTAATGGACCGCCAGGCTTCGCAAACAGATGATTTCGCACGGCGTTCGTGATGTGACGATCGAACGCCATACTGTAATCCAAACAGCCTTTACTATCGCAACACTACAGAACGTTAAGGCATAATTATTCGATGGCCCAGTTCACGTTGATCGCAGGGGCGGAAACACCTTAGCATCTTGCCTTCCTCATTGGCGCACCCTGCTCTCTACCACGTTGGAAAGAGGAATCTGCAAATGAGAAAGGCATAGTAGATGGATGCCTCCGCCTATACGATCCAAGGTGTTCGGTGCCTTTAACGATATTACCTTTCAGAGCCTACTAGGCCCATGAGCATTGACTCTAAATGGCCAACTTCTCGTTCGTAGAGTGGAGATGGGTCCGAGAAATGGTCCTGAAAGGAAGGTCGGAAGTAGAACTCCTCTACGGTTGTCTCAATTCAACTAACTTTCAGTTCAACTGCTTCGGTCATGTTTCGGAAAGTGTCGCTCATGCGAGGGAATTTCGCCCGAATTAAAGTGTGGCCGAATCGAAAAGCTGCTGTCGACATTTCCTGTGAAATCGTCGGGTCACAGTGGGCATCGTAACCTTGAAAATTTCAGATTATTTTGAGGATAAAAAATTTCAAAGGCATCAGTAGTTCAGGGAAGTCGTGAGGCTATGAAAAATCCCCTCCCCTCTCTGAGCCACTGAAACTTTATCCGGCCTCCTTATCAAATGGTTGAAGGAAATAAACTGAAGTTTGAAAAGGAGCCTTGTGCAAGAATTTCTTTGCGAATTCGCTTTATACCCTCCCTAATTTATCAGGTTCTCGGACGCAATTCGGCTTGTTTGAGCATCGAATGGTAGGTATCAGTCAAGGGCGAGTCTTACAGCAACTATGTAGGCGGAAGTGAGAATGCCCTCCCAACGAGCAACAGCCGGTTTTCCGTTACTTACTGTGAGAGTAGCCACTCTTTTTGGCATAAGTCGTATTTCGCCATAGCCTCACATCCGAGCACAACCGGAAGCCACTCCTTGAAGACAACATGCTGGAGTTTGGCGATGTTGATGCGCCTGGCTTCCTGAAAAGAATCCCTCATTGAGCCTCTATAATCTACCTTCCATCGATGTGAAGTCAAACGTCCTGTTCGGAAATCCTTAACTATCACACATTACCCATCTTAATCGCAGGCCTGCGCATTACCTTGGATGTCAGCTTGATCGCCCCGCGTCACAAAAGTGTCAGTTGTATGGCTCAAACTACTGGATGACCGGAAGGCGAATGACCTAGATGTGAAGAAAAGCAGGCGTAAAGAACGCCGCCAGATCCTCATATTGCCGCCCCCATGCCAAACGTCGTATTTCGTACCCATGAAAAGGGGTGGTTGGACCCCAGTTGCTATCTTTTGTGTCAGCTTTTTCCCTTTGTCACTCTCACCATTCAAAATGGAGAGAGCTAGTTGCGAATCAACCATACCGCCAGGATACCTTTCCAGGCGTTGCCGTGGCCATTGGGCGGGGTCGTGGTTTCGTGGCGAGCGGGCGGCGCTTTCTTCACCTGATTTTAAGATGCAAAAGTAGTACATCCCAATGCTTGCCTTCAGGACTACCAAGCCCAAAGAACTCTTCTGAACATCGAATGAATGCGGAGCGTGTCTTTAAGAGCCACTGGAAAATGGCATCAAAGTGCATGGATGCTGTCAGTAGGGGAGTGGCCATAAGGTGCTTCGCAAAGGAAGAGTACGAAAATGGAAGCAGGACGGCAACATGTCCAGCTGCCGACCTGCCTGGACCGTGGCCTTAGAGCCGCGGTTATTTGATCGGCAACTTCAAAGTAATTCAAGGCGTCGGGAACAGTTTTCTGGCGGCAGTTCAACCGGCAAAGGGATCAAAGCAGCGAAAGTGCAAAGCAACCCCTCCCCGCCACAAAACTGCTCCCATTTTCATGTTTCACTGTTCCGATTTTTTCTGTATCAATCTACGTAAAAAGTGTGCCAGATGGACTCATGCCGGTTCGATTTCCAGAAGTTTCGCTTTAATTTTTAAAGAAAGTGGCAAGATCACCAAATCCGCTAAAAACTTGTATATAGGGGTAATTCAACATCCTGATCACGAATATGACATTCATTTTTGGCGCTGGCGCTAATGGATGACACTACGGTTACCTGCGCTCTGCTAAGGCTGAGCCCAGGAGGTAATCGTAGTGTCCTCTCTTGGCGCCAGCGCCAAGAATGAGTGTCATACTCGTAATCAGGATGTTGAATTACCCCTATATACAAGTTTTTAGTGGATTTGGTGACTTAGGCAATTTTGAAAATGAGCTCGAAGACGAAATTTCTGGAGTCCAAACGGCATTAGCCGTGCCAGATGAAGAGACGGAACGACGGCGAGTGGAGGAAGCTGGTGCGGCTTTTTCTAGATAGGCAGACTTATTGTAGCACTTTCTCGCGAAAACCATTTTGGTTTCAGAGCCGGTGCCCACGCGACGTTACGGGTAATGTTGATTCAGTCACAGCCCAAGGCAAGCAGTCGAACAAAGCCGTGGTTACGTCTGTTCTGAAGAATTTCAAGCGAAAACTGACCTGGAATAATTGTTCGTCAGTCCAAAAATTGTTGACACGGCGAAGTTGTGTAGCAATACGGTTGTGTTCTCTCAGGAGAATTGTGTGAATGACAGTGAGACCTGGTTGTTCATTGTTCCGCTCATCACCAGCGATGAAACATCTACAATGAAATGGAACTGAGTTGTTCTCAAGTTGCACATTCGAGAAAAAGATTGATGAAACCTTTTCTGTTTTGAGCTGAGCACTGATCGGCAATCGCGCTCTTGTCTTCCTTGAGGCAGGGCTTCCTTATTGAATCTGAACTTTCAGTACAATGAGGTTGATAGATTTCTTATTTTTCGAACTATATCGTCCGCATTCCCCGTGCCTGCGTTCTTGTTTCGCTTCCAGGTAAGACTGCATGGAAATAATCATTAAAAGGAAGCACGTGATAAGATATTCCGGGTAGGGGGGCTCAAGTAGGGAAGCCAAGATTCTAATAATGCCAACAGTAGAGAAAAACGAAAAAAGCTCCAAATAAAACCCCTAGCCGGTGCACTTGTACGAGCAGGGTGGGCGTGTTCGGACGAGATCACCGGCGGTAACGTTGCGGATGACATGGCAGCCGTGAGTGATCCCAGATTACTTATTGAC